TATGAGTGTAGGATTAATTGCGGATAAGTATGAATGTCCAACATGTGGGAATGAAAAAGAGATTGTGTGAAAGGAGGATATACGACAAGTTGAATGGTGGTGCACGAAAATGGTGAAAATGGACATTTTGTGAAACAGAGTGTAAGGAAGGGTACGTGGTTTGCTGAAAGTCGTTTGAGTATGGGTGAAATTTTATTAATTTCGTATTACTGGGTGAATAGACTGCCAGTTGACTGCTGGATTATTAAATCTATGAGAAAAGTTTATCCGCCATGCAATCAAGATTCTGAAGAAGATTAGGTAAGTTAGTATTTTTAATCATTTGAGGATATTATTTTTATGCATGTAAGGAATAAATGTAAGGAATAAATAAATTAATATGGTATTATTGGAAAATTGTTATTGGCAATGAATTAGTTTAAAGTAATTAAGATTGTAAGCTAATTTTATTAATTTGATGTATGTGCTTATTAATATTTTAAGTAGTTTTTTTTTAATTTAATTATATTTTAATTTAATATCTTGATTTTGTGCATTATTTTTTGAAGTATTTGATACGTTTTGAGTAGAAGTAAACGTGCATGGAAAGAATTTAAATATTTGACACTAAGTATTTGGAACCATTTTTAATGTTTGTGTTATAAATTTGCAGGTGATGTTTATAATAGATAATTTCGAAGGAAAATTTTATGGGTATTTTATTTATTTTATACGTGGAAATGTTCATCCTTCGAAAGGGTATATACTTTTTCGCGATCAGGTAATTTCATATATGTTCTTTTTACCAATTCTAATTTATGAGAAAAAAGCAGTGTACATGGGTATAATGAAGAGTGTGCGCAATGGCATTTTTGTGCAATTCTGGGATTTTTTTTTTAAGTAAAAATAAGTCGACGTGTACATGGTTTAGTTATATTTTAATTAAATGATAATTATTTTGTGAATTATATGTTTGTAGCAATTTGGAATACATTTCAGTAGATGTAAACGTGCATGGAAATAATTTAAATATTTGACACTAAGTATTTGCAACCATTTTTAATGTTTGCGTTATAAATTCGTTGGTGACGTTTATAATAGATAATTTAGAGGGAAAAGTTTTTGGATATTTTATTTATTTTATACGTGGAAATGTTCATCCTTGGAAAGAGTATATACTTTTTCACGATGAGGTAATTTCATATATGTGCTTTTTACCGAGTTTAAAGATTCACAAAATTTTCCTGCATTTTCGTGCAAATTTTTCTAATTTACGAGAAAAAGGTAGTGTACATGGATATAGCGAAGAGTGTGCACAATGCCATTTTTGTGCAATTCTGGGATTTTTTTTAAGTAAAAATAAGTTGACATGTACACGGTTACTGTGTATGTGCGATTCTGAAAAACGCGGCAAGGAGCGATTCTGCACTTTTTCCCAATTTTGCAATTAATATTTGTCATTATTAAGCAGTTTTGTTCCATAAAATTTCTAGCATAAGTGTAGTTCGGCTAGCAGATTGTTGGAAAAAGTGTTGAGTAATTAAAAAGAAAAGAAACATGTCTTTACTTCGTGAAGACAAAATGGCGGCGAAAAAAAAAGTAGAAAATTGCTGTAACAGAGTTGGTCGCCAAATTTTCGCCAAGTTACCATAATCCAAAGATTAACCAAAAAAATCTTATACAGAACTAAAAATAAATTTAAAAAATAATCAATATAAAATACAAGCAAAATTAATTATTACAGTTAAAGGCTAATCGGCTGATCTTTGGAATATGGTAACTGGTAGTTTGGCGACGATAAAGGTTACTATCTAGGACTTTGGTACGTGAGAAGTACTCAGTTCCGATTACGCATTATTTTGTGTGAGGGAAATGAGAGATCATGAGATATGTCACGTGACATTAATGGACGAATTACAGTTCTTTAATCGGAAAAGGGGGGAAATCTGGAAATTTTGTATTTAGCTTCATTAGTGTGTTGTGTGAAACAGTGTTGATTAATTTTTGGATCCCATGGCCCTAATGTAAAGTGAATTCGAAATGGGTATTTAGTGGGATTGAAAGGGGTAGTAATAAATGCTTTTTTTAAGGTTGTGCGAGATAGAAGTAAAGATGTTTTATTAAGTTATTTATTTTACCTGGTACCTTGCTGTGAACTATAAGTATGATTTTAATAGATCCTGAAACAGGCGCACAACTTCTTTTTATTTAGCGGAGGAAATAAGAAAAGTTTTATCGGCCACGTAATCAAGATTCTGAAGAAGATTAGGTAAGTTAGTATTTTTAATTATTTGAGGATATTATTTTTTATGCATTGTTCTAAATGTAAGGAGTAAATAAAGTAATATGGTATTATTGGAAAATTGTTATTAGCAATGATTTAGTTTAAAGTAATTAGGATTGTAAGCTAATTTTTATTAATTTAATGTATGTGCTTATTTATATTTTAAGTAGTGTTTTTGAATTTAATTATATTTTAATTAAATGATAGTTATTTTGTGAATTATATGTTTGTAGGAAATTTGGTATACGTTTTGAGTGGAAGTAAACGTGCATGGAAATAATTTAAATATTTGACACTAAGTATTTGTAACTATTTGTAATGTTTGCGGTATGAATTCGTTGGTGACGTTTAAAATATAATAGATAATTTAGAGGTAAAAGTTTTGGATATTTTATTTATTTATACGTGGAAATGTTCATCCTTGGAAAGGGTATATACTTTTTCGCGATCAGGTAATTTGATATATGTCTTTTTTACCGAATTTAAAGATTCACAAAATTTTCATGCATTTTTCTAATTTATGAGAAAAAAGCAGTGTACATGGATATAGTGAAGAGTGTGCGCAATGCCATTTTTGTGCAATTCTGGGATGTTTTTTTAAGTAAAAATAAGTCGATGTGTACATGGTTTAGTGATATTTTAATTAAATGATAGTTATTTTGTGAATTATATGTTTGTAGGCAATTTGGTATACGTTTGAGTGGAAGTAAACGTGCATGGAAATAATTTAAATATTTGACACTAAGTATTTGTAACCATTTTTAATGTTTTTTTGTTATGAATTCGTTGGTAATGTTTATAATAGATAATTTAGAGGTAAAAGTTTTTGGATATTTTATTTATTTTATACGTGGAAATGTTCATCCTTGGAAAGGGTATATACTTTTTTTCGCGATCAGGTAATTTCATATATGTGCTTTTTTACCGAGTTTAAAGATTCACAGAATTTTTTTTGCATGCATTTTCGTGCAAATTTTTCTAATTTATGAGAAAATAGCAGTGTAGATGGATAAAGTTAAGAGTGTATGCAATGCCATTTTTTGTGCAATTCTGGGATTTTTTTTTAAGTAAAAATAAGTCGACGTGTAAATGGTTTATGTGTATGTGCTATTCTGAAAACACGCGCAAGGAGTTTGCGATTGTGCACTTTTTCCCAATTTTGCAGTTAATATTTGTCATGATTAAGCAGTTTTGTAACATAAAATTTCTAGCATAAGTGTAATTCGGCTAGTAGATTGTTGGAAAAAGTGTTCAGTAAATAAAAAGAAAAGAAACATGTCTCTACTTCGTGAAGACAAAATGGCGGGGGGGGGGAAAAAAAAGGAGGGTTGCTGTAGCAGAGTTGGTCGCCAAATTTTCGCCAAGTTACCATAATCCAAAGATCAACCGGCTAATCTTTGGAATACGGTAACAGGTAGTTTGGCAATATTTTGGTAAGGTGATAAAGATTACTAGCTAGGACTTTAGCAGTGTACATGGATAAAGTCAAGAGTGTGCGTAATGTCATTTTTGTGCAATTCTGGGATTTTTTTTTAAGTGAAAATAGGTCGACGTGTACATGGATGATACCGTGTATGTGCAATTCTTAAAAACGCAACAGGCAGTGGGCGATTCTGCACTTTCTCCCAATTTCGCACCTAATCTTCGTCATGATTAAGCACTTTTGTTCCATAAAAGTTCTAGCATAAGTGTAATTCGGCTAGTAGATTGTTGGAAAAAGTGTTCAGTAAATAAAAAGAAAAGAAACATGTCTCTACTTCGTGAAGACAAAATGGCGGGAAAAAAAAAAAAAAAAGGAGGGTTGCTGTAGCAGAGTTGGTCGCCAAATTTTCGCCAAGTTACCATAATCCAAAGATTAACCCAGTTGAATACAATTTTAATATTTGAATTAAATGTATAAAATTTATTAAGGAGTCAAAAGTGTTTATCACTATGATGTATTATGAAATATAATTGAAATAAAATTCCTTTATAGAAATTGTGCTATAATATTCATCTATAATTTTAAAAAAGCAGCACAATTTAGAATTTTAAACAAAACTTTCAAAAATTCGTTTTTTAATTTTTTAGTATTTTTTATTTATTTACACCAATAAAAAGCATAAAAATTGCAAGAGAAAATTGCTTGTTTGAAATTTTCTATTAGTTCAAGTATAAAATATTATTTTCTAAAAGAGGTAGTTACAAATTTCCTTACAGCATAGGAAAAGCTAAAAAAATATCCCGCCCTGAAAGCATGCAATAGCTTTATAATTATTTGGAACGTTAATTATGCTTGATGAATATGATAAATTTTTAAAAATCAATCTCAATTTCAAAAAAATATGGAGAAATTCTAATTTGTGAAATGAGACGCTACAACCAGCTTTTTCTTGACAATTATACACGCTGCAAATAGGCAACCACTGTTAAATTTCTGCAAGTCGTCCCTACTTCTTCGGATGTGATCAAGGTGTGACAGCCGGGAACGCCTCATACAAGGGAGAAAACCCATTTGAGTTAGTCTATTTCTTATAAGGTCCATGCTTCCTCTGTGTTTACGTAACAGAAAATGAACGTCTGTACTTATGGGTTAAATTTGGATTACATTTTCTGCTACCATAAGTAATTTTACACAATATAACTGAATTTACGGCATTTCCAAACTATCAGATAATTACTTCTGTGAAAAAACAATCAATATATAAAATTAAATTTTACATCTAAAGGTATTTCAAAGAAAAAAAATTCTACAAACCGAAAAAGACAGGTTTGCCACATTTATGACACTTCCACATGATTTCATTAAAACCAAATGCTAATGCCAGAACAAAAATTATGACAACAAAAAAACAACAGCTACTCTAATTCAATGAAAAGTTATCCAGTTTGCGAAGTACAGCCTTTAGTTTCACAAAGAAAATAATTAAAACCGAAATTAATGACATGATAAACAATTCACTATGATAAAATAATGGGATTTTTGTTTGTACTACATTTTGATGCCATTCCTGAAAACATAAGCCAAAAGTGGTTTGATAAAATAAAACTATTTAAAAATTAATAGTTTCATGTAATGAAAACATGTGATTATGATTTTTTTAATGTTTTTAAATAAAAGCGATTATTTTTAAAAACACATAAGGATTATTAGCGTCATTTAAATTTAAATGGAGGTGTAGTACTTTTTAAATAATCGCTTTTGACACTGCAAGTTCAAAACCTGGCAAAGTTGGCAGTTGCTCTGTCATTGCACATTTTGTTGCATGCTTTTAAAGCGGAAATATATTTATACATATTGTGTTTTGTTGGTGTTAACAGACGTCGAATTACTCAGAATTTATTATAATTGTAAATAGTAAATGGTGTATATAAATCTAATAACCGTTGTTTGAGAATTGCATTGTGTAATAAAAATGCCGACTGTTATTCCTGATGATTCCCGGTTTCAGGTGGAACTATCCAATGCTGGTTCCAAACTTGTTGTTGTTGATTTCATGGCTAGTTGGTAAGAACTATGTCAAATGATTTAATATTCTGACGCAGCTGTCTGTTGTTTATACTTGATTTTGATATGAAATCACTAATCGCCAATTTCCACAAAGGTTTTTGCCATAACTCTTAAGTTTTTTATAAATAAAGTGATCAGTTTTGCATATTTAAAATCAGTGCGTTGTTTTATATATTGTGTGCTCAGATAAGTAGCAAGAAAATTTACGTAATATATATAATTATATTGTATCATATACATTAATTGATATTAAATGTTCATAGCATTATGTCTTATTTACATGTAGGATGTTTAGACAAAAGTGATTTTAATGACGTATTTCTTGAGGAATAAGTACTTGGCTTTTAAGTATTTACTGTATATTTTAATAATTTCTTTAGATATAAATAAATTTTAAAATATATCATGCGTTAGGTTTTAAAACAGACAATATTGTGCTTGTTCTACAGATTACCAACAGTCGCTGAACACTGCTAGTTTGACCTGGGTTCAATTCCAGGTAAACAGGCTGGCTGCATGAGCAGTTTCATGGTGTAAAGTGGATACTAGCGTATATTTCTTAGAAAGTCCTCCAAGAAGGCATCTCTTCCCCTTAGTAGAGAAGCCTTTCCCCAGCTTTGGATGCTTTGGCATAATCAAATAAACCAAACTAATTTGCAAATTAAGACAGAAAAATGTGATTATGATCATACTTATGGGATCAAGGTACATCAAATAAAAATGAACCTACCACTGACTATAGCCATTTTAATCTTTTCAGTTTTTATTGGTTAAAAAATAAGTAACCAAGGTCAGATGTTAAAAAAATAAAGAGTTCTGAAGCTGATGCAGTTATGGGTTCCCTAAGGATAACTACACTTTAATCCAGAATTAAATTAAATTCAGTAGTAATGTTGATTAAATCAAATGAGACGTCATAAATATTTAATACATATTGGTCTAAAGGAAAATTTTTTCCATCTTAAAATAATATTTAGCTTTAAAGGAATTCATGTATAAATTAATACGTATCATTATTAACATCTCTCTATCTTTTATGTATTTAAAATGCACACTGAAAGTATTAACTTTCTGAAGCCAGCTGGTACAGCAGTTGTACCAGGAAAATGACTTTCTCTAACGCCAGCTGTGGTACAACTGTAGTACCAGCCTTCCTCCCTATTTTAGAGAATCGCCTATCTGTAGATCTCGGGGTGTTCTATTGTCGCTGCTCAGAATAGCCGCTGGCTACGCATTATTTCCCTCTTCTTATCAGTTTGGCTACATTTTGGCAAAAACCGCAGGCTTCGTCTCGCGCCACATATACTTAAAAATCAAATAAAGGCCATCTCTCTCTCAAACGTTAGAGCACTGTCTCATAATTTTAGTGCTAATTCTTTTAGTACTGACTTTTGCTATGATTAAAATGTCAGCGATTTTGCACGCAGTTTAAGCTTACCAGATTTAATGCTTTTTAATCCGTAGCAAATAAGAATAAATTAATATTTTAGATTTAATGCCCTTCTAGAAATAGTTAAAACACTTTTATCGTTTACTTCCTTTTTATACTTATGAATAATAAGATTTTATTTTGACATTTTTTTTTTTGGAGTGCATAAAACCCTAAGAACTATTAAGTCTTTCAAAGTGCTTCTATTATGTAGGCAATTTTGTCTGATTTATCAGGAGATAAAAAAGAGACAATTGTATGCATAATAGTTTTTGTGATTTTCATTCATTCAGTGATTTCATTCAATGATTGCTTTTAATGATTTTCATTGATTGTAAATTAAGTAAAATCAATTTATCTTTAGACCCTCTTTTAGGATGAGATCTGCCAAAAAGTATTTAAATATCAGTAAAGCTCACGTTACTTCTGAATCGAATCAAAACATCAGTTACATTGTATTAAATTTCGGCCGGTTTTATTTTCTGAAATTCTCCTCAAGAGATAAAGGGAATTCAGACAAGTTAATAAAAAAAATATCTTTAAAAAAGGTTGTTATTTTGTCTGTAATAAGGTGTATGTCAACTTACTATTAAATGTATGAGAATTAGGATTGGATTACGGAAAAGCACGTGAATGCTATCTGCTTAAGGGGATGGATGCTTTCATGTAAACCTTTTGAAGGCACGTCCACACGAGTACGCTCGAAACGTAGCTGACGAACGCGTCTTTACGTTACCAGCGTAAAAGCGTCCAAACGAGTACGCTTGCGAAGAGTGTGTTTAACCAATAGAATTATTTTGCGCAAAAATCACGTGATGCTGTAATATAGCGTCAACAGAGCTGTCTCTTATTACTTTGCTGTGCTTCTGTATGTTTGCGGCAAGTTGTCCGAATCAGATGATTTTTTTAATAGCTGAAACTTTACTATTAAGTGCAATTATTAAGCAGAGGCAAAACCGCAAAAAATGGTAAGAATGAGCCCGAAAGATTTATTTAGAGCGACCTGTTCAAAGAGACTTTTTTTTTACTGCCTTGTTTGCGAAAGGAATATCCCGAATTATCAATTCCTACTATTAGCTCACACTCTCCCTATATCTTGTTCAAATTTTCAGTACATAAAATGCTTTTTATTTATCCTCTCAAGTTCAAATAGAATTTTTAAACTTGTAGTGAATGACACTTGATGTTAATACAGCTTTTTCACATATTTAAATTTTTAATTTTAAAAAAATTCTGTTTGTATTTTTTATTTATTAATTTATTTAATTTTGTATTTTTAAAAATTTTTCTTTGTGGACCTAAGTAGGAATTGACTTAATTTTTGGGGGGGGGGTATATTACTTGTTTTTTAATTCCTTCAGGATGAGTATCGACCAGTTTGACAGACTTGCAGATTCTATATCGTATGAAAATTAGGATTTATAAAATTGGTTTGGAATACAGTATATAATAAAACCAACTTCATATTTTTTTAACTCCCTCTCCCTTGGTCTTTTGTTTTTCTTTTTATTTATTTTTAAATTTAGAATGAGGTTCAAACTTTGGACAGTTTATGAGAAATTATGTGCATGATAAAATATGCAATAAAGTAAAAATAAAGAGAGAATTTATAGATGATATATGATAAAGAGATGCAGATATATTATTACATAAGGATTTCTATTTGCACTGCACATTTTTAAACTAAATTAAAAACAATAACAATAATGAATAACATAAGAAATGAAAACTCTAATAATAGGTAAAAAAAGAATACAATGATTCATGATTAAATAGAAGAAACACGTTTCAAAATGAGAAAAGCTAACTGAATTATTATAATACTGTCTACGGGTGAGGTTCGAACTCGCCATCTTTCCATTCCTCCGCCACCAAAGCAGCACGCTGACCACTCAGCTATCTGTGACAGCATTGTTTGTGAAAAATAATGTAACAAGTAGAAGTCGCTGCAAAGGTAATTTAATTAAACTTCAATAAATGATTGCTGTATGACACAAGTTGTAACTTTCCTCCAAATTTCGAATTGTATTTTATTGAATAGTCTTTCACAGTCAACTGCTTTATTTTAGAAGTTGTTATATTGCTGAAGTTAGTTTTTGGTGTATTTAATATTGGCATATTTATAGAGCTTTTTATTACACATGATGTAGCCAATATTTATAATAATTAAGGAGTATTTTGTAAGGCAGAAGCTTTGATTTCGTAGAAACTGTAATTTATTTAGGTTCCTATTACTTACGGTGTTATAAATAGGTGAAGCATATGGATATACTGGTCGGATCATTGCTTTATAAATATACAGTTTTCCCCTTTAATGAGAATTTTAAATGTATACCAATGTGTACGGTTTGAGAAATCTGAAGATGGCGTGAACAATGCTGATTATTTTATTGATGTACACAGTTATATTTCTAAGCAAAAACTCATCTCTGTGCGCCATATTGAAACGGGTAAGCAAGAAGGTTTTCTGATTATGACACGTGATAAAAACTCGGTCGGCTATTGGCTATACGCGCGCGTCGCGGGCGGAAAAGCTGAACAGGAGCGTACTCAGTTTTACGTCTTCTGCGTCACGCGAATTTACGCCGACGTCAAAAAAGTTACGTCGAGAGCGTCCTTGTGTGGACGGGCCTTTAAGAGAAAATTGCTTGCATTTACGTTCCTGGTGGAAAACTCCACATGTAATCAACCAGTTCTTCGGGTTTGGTTGGATTAATTTTGTACGCTTACTGAATTACATCAAAGCACACAACAATTACCTGTATAAGGGGAGGAATGCCTTCGTGGAGGACTTTCTAAGGGAAGCTGGCTTGCATTTACGTTACACACAAAAACCATGAATCCAATCCTTTATCCGGGATTCAAAACCCGAGCGAGCTACAAGTGTTCAGCCACCTTTACTGCTCTACTGAAGAGCCCGTAAAAAAATTGATAAAGAAAAAGTATTGAAATAACCGGTTTAATTTACTAACCTATATTTCTCAATTGACAGTACATAAATTACGCATATGAGGGGATTATTTGTGAATAAATAAACTGTATTGCACTTTTCTCCACTATTTCATATTACGATGGAATTATTGCATTTTAAAGTTACTTCTCATAAATTAATTTTCCTCCGTTCATGATTTTTTTATATTTTCAAAGAGAAAATTTCACACTTTAAATAAAAAAATGCACGAGATGATACTTTATGCAAAATTTGGCGTAAACGGTTTTCTTAATTTTGCTTTGAAAATATTCCAGGGTAATTGTTTTCATTACTGGAAGAAATATGAAAAACAGATTTACTACATTGTGTCAACACCCAATATGTCCTTATTCTTTTGAAAACGTGAAAGATTACTCTTTCTAAAATAAATTAGAAAATATACTATATGCAAATAGAATATTCGTTGAAAATGAAATAGACTTCAACCTTTGGATATAACGATGGTTTTAGACGAAATTTCTTCCTATGAAAAGAAATTGACGTATAATTAATTCTTCATAAACATTTAAAACTGTTCTGAAAAATACTTTTGATGATTGCATGTATAGGCCATGGATTTTTTTTTCTCTGCTAACATAAACAAAAGCCAATTTTACAAAGAAAAATTCTCGTTAAAGATATACCTTCCTTTGCCTGATAGTCCAATGTAATATTTGTTAAAATTAATTATAAACGCAACCAATGTATCTCGGATTTTGATTTTTATATTATAATAACAAAATTATCGAAAAGCAGATTTAAATCTCTGTTATTGTATGTAAAGTTTTATTATTGCTGTAAGTTCATCTCAAAATCTAATTGTATTGAATCTCATTCTAATCATCTAATGGTAATAAATATTATTATTATTATTCATTAAATTAGTCATTACCATTATTTTATTAATGAAAATATGTTATTAAAAATCGCATTCCGGCCTGCAGACTTACAGATCTAGTCTGTATTTACTATATTTTGTTAAAATTTTGTTCTCGCTTTCTAATTTCTACGAAAATACGCAATTATAAATGAAGAGTGAAACAAAGTTAAAAAATTCACATTACGAGATTGATTAGAAATAGAATGAAATAAAAACATTGCATACATTTTGTTCTAATAAAGTGTGCACTGGATATGCATCCAGTACTGCACATTTATTTATGCACTATTTATTTAGAACTTTCATTTAAATGAAAGCAAAATAATCATCGAAAAAATTGCAAATCTAGCAACTCCTCTACTATGGGACGTAGGCGTCCGACAAACGTAAATTTTACTTCATCCATGGAGGGAACTAACGACTTTTCTCATTAGGAAAATGTCAAAGAGGGGGCAAAACTGTTCGGATCGCGCGGTCTGAAAGGCTATATTATGAGTATTTTGGCCTGGTTTTAGAAGGTTAATAGTTTAAAGAAAAAAAAAATATATTTTAAAATTTATTACCATAAAAAAATGAAGTCAAATTTCTTGGTTTAAGATCTCATGCAAAGACATTCATTCACACAAAGAATTCATATGGTATGTATAAATACACAATTTAAAATGTGTAAAACATGTATGCAATTTACATTGGATAATAACTGCCATAATGTTTTTGGAAAGGCTGATAAATCAAGTTAATTTTTATGAGTTATTAGAAGAATTTAAAAAAAGGAACAGGTAAATTAATAAAATTGCTACAATGAAATTAAATCCAAAAGTGACTCAAAATGTATTCAAATATTATCAGCTGATTCTTCACTATTTCTTCTGGAACACTTAAGATTTTGAAGAATCCTTGTTTGAAAACGCTAATCTAGAGAATGATTTTCGGTTTGTATGGTCATGAAAATTTAAGTGGGGTCATGTAGAAATGGAGGGAGGGAAAGGCATCAGTGCAATAAAAGCCCAGAAGGGTAATTTTGTTTTGGCATTTTGCATTGAGTCACTATAAAAGGGTGAATCACTTTTCAAATTGTTGCCACCAAATAGTAGAGCTTTGTGTTATATTTAAAGAAATTAAATAATAAAGAATCTGCATGAATGTATGTATGTTTCTCGCATTGTGATAAAACAGCGCTACCTAGAGCCGTCAAATTTTGAACAATGTAATCATCCACTGAATATGGACATCTGGAAGCCCATATTTATAACTTGAAATTTGTTTTACTATCGATTTCATATTGTGTAAAACTTTAACAAATTTTCGATTAACAAACCAACGATTTCAAAGTGAGCAATGGCAACCAAAAAAAAAAAAAAAAATTACCTCCAGCACGCGAGACTGTGTATCGGAAATTGTAAAGATATGCTCATTTTTCAGTCTTGCTTTGGAGTGTTTAATACCAATTGAGCTTTTTCTGTAGAGTTTGTCAAGGTATTTTGTCATACATATTGCTAGAAAAGGGCAGTTTCACCAGGGTTGCAAGTTTGTTGAGAAAAATTTTCACTATTGATGAGTTCAATAAATTCATCTGCAACTAATTCAGCAGCTTCAGTATCAGCTAGGCCATGAAAGACACGTTTTTCCCTAATTTTTGTCTTCCTTCTATCGTTCAGGGAAACAGTTAAGCCTGAATTGTATTATTTTAGTTGGTTAATCTTTGGATTATGGTAACTTGGCGATTTTTTGGGCGAAAATTTGGCGACCAACCCTGCTACAGCAACCTGCTAGTTTTTTTGGAATGCCGTTGTTTTCACGAAGTAAACAATTTTTTCCAACAATTGCTAGCCGAATTACATTATGCTAGAATTTTATGGAACAAAAATTTAATCTGACGAAGATTAGGTGCGAAATGGAGAAAAGTGCAGAATCGCCACTGCTGCCGCGTTTTTAAGAATTGCACATACACGGTATCATCCATGTACACGTCGACCTATTTCACTTTAAAAAAAATCCCGAATTGCACATAAATTTCATTGCGCACACTCTTGACATCCATGTACACTGCTAAAGTCCTAGCTAGTAACCTTCATTGCCTTACCAAAATGTCGCCAAACTGCCTGTTACCATATTCCAAAGATTAACCTTTTAGTTATTTATTATACTTACGTCTATTTCTTGCACAAGCTTAAGGCTTATCTGAGTCCTGAATATCTAGATTCCCACATATACTTATCGAGGGCCGGCGCTAGATATCTTATCACCTGATGTAGTTTCTGCGGGTCTTAAATTCTGCCAACAAATGCCTCCCTAAGCTCTAAATTTTTGCCACCCTTAAAATTTTAGGTCTCAGTGCTTTACCTAAATTCTAAAAATGTTTTCACCCCTTAATTTTATTGCTTGGTGCTCGTCTAAATTCCAAAAATTGTGTCTTTCCCAAATTCCTTCACCTAGTGCGGCCATACGAGCTCTGGTGTTGGTTTGGGGTTTATGTGAATAGCATATCGTTTATTCTTAATTGAAATAGCACTAAATGTCATATTTTGTCCTCTGAGTGTCATTAACAAAATCTATTTTTAGCATATCAAAAGAGATTTTTTGTTAAATTTTTTCTCATCAGCATTTTTTTAGCACATTTAACTTAAATCTGCAATCACTGCCAAGCCTAATGTTAACAGAAATGTGTACCACGCTCTTTGTTATTCAACTACTAATAAAAAAAAAAATTATTTAGGCATCCCTGCACAAGTCACTACACAAGTTGTCATATGCTGATAAAATTAAGTGATGAAAGCCAAATATAATAAATAATGATTTGTCAGGTTGCATCAGGGACATAAAATATTAGTGGGTGTAAAATCAATGGGTTAATCTTCGGATTATGGTAACTTGGCGACTTTGTTGGCGAAAATTTGGTGACCAACCCTGCTACAGCAACCTGCTAGTTTTTTTTTTTTTTTTTTTTATGCAATTTTGTTTTCACGATAAAGCAGTTTTTTTTTTTTTTACTCAACATTTTTCCAAACAATCTGCTAGCCGAAGTATTAGTAGCTAGAACTTTTATGGAAAAAATGCTTATCATGAGCAGATGAGGTGCGAAAATGGAGAATTTGCAGAATCGCCACTGCTTGGCGTTTTTAAGAATTGCAATAGACAGTATGTACACGCCGACTATTTCACTTAAAAAAATCCAGAATTGCCACAAAAATGGCTTGAGCCCATCTGACTTTATCCTGTACCTGCTAAGTCCAGATAGAACTTTACGCCTTACCAAAATGTCGCCAAAACTACTGTTATCAGATCCAAGATTAGACAATCAATGATGTTTTATGTAGAAGTTTCAGTTTGAGAGTATGCAGCAGATTGATACACAAATTTATGTTAAAATGATTGTTTCTTCAATAATGATGTATTTTATGTAGTGCCAAAGTCAAATTAAGAATCGAGGTTTTCCACATGTGTCATTATCAGGGAAAAATATCAAATATGCATGCCTAAAGCATACCAAAAAAATCCCCTCTCCCACAAAAAAAAAAAAAAAAAAGTTGCTAGTGGCTTTGAGGTCCAGATTTCAGATCGTTCCTGGTAGTGGACGTTCAGATCTCGGAATTTGTACTGTATTAGATTTCGAGTATGATGAACCTGATCTAAAATATATGGAAAGGCAGAATGTAATTATGAAAAGATTTTGAGAAGGGAAAAGTTAATTATAAATGTAGTTTGAATTTGCACAGTTTTATTCAGCTAGAAATATTGCATTACTATTCCTTTTCTAGCTACAGATTTTACTCCACACTCTGGGCATATTTTTTCCTCTGGTATAATTTCATTTGTTGAAAATAATACATAGCATAGCATTTTTCTCTGTTTCCAGAAAACCCCAAATGAATGAACAAACAAATGTAAATTATAATCAGACTTTCATGGGGGAAAACTAATATTTTAAACATGGCTGAAAATTTGGGGAAAGTGCAGAATCACCCACTGCTTAGCGTGTTTTTAAGAATTGCACGTACTCGGTATCCATGTACACATCAACCTATTTTCACTTAAAAAGTCAAAGAAAATTGACAAAAATTCATTTCTTCTTACTCTTGTAAAAAGCACCAAACAAATAAGTGGGAGATTCTGCACTTCACCTGAAAATTTTTTGAATACTTCTTTGTTAAAGGAACCAACGTACTTAGTCACCAAGATTGGCAAACTTGATAACCTAATCTGTAAGCTGCAAATTTCAGATGTTGCCAAAGACTTACATAGTGGTTGTTTTATTAAGGGAGTGTATTTTTTTACTGTGCAGTTAAATAAGCATTTACTGATTATCAATTTTTATGATTTATAGGTGTGGCCCATGTCATCAGATAGCTCCAGTTTTTGAAGAATTAAGTCGGCGCTACCATGATATAATTTTCCTTAAAGTTGATGTTGATCAGTGCCCTGAAACTGCTTCTTCCCAAGGAGTGACAGCTATGCCAACCTTTATATTCTATAAGAATAAAATGAAAATAGGTGAAGTGAAAGGAGCAAATGCAGATGCACTTAAGGCCAAAATCAAAGAATTAGGAGGAGGTAAAGGTGATGAAGCAACTGAAACTACTGTTGATGGTCATGTATGTATGTTACAGTGTTTACTTAATTTTGATAAATATTGCATGTATGTGAACTAATAAAATTTAATTTTAGACCACTTTTTTCTCCATGAATGCACTCATATTATGGCATTATAATATTTTTAATTATGTATTGCCTTGCTGAATTACAGTATGTCACATTAACTCTGGAAGTATAAATATCTAAAAGAAAATGGATATGTTGGTAGCAGATTAAATATGCTAACAATTAAAATTTGCTTTTCCCAGTGTATAACATTAAAGGTTGGAGGGATGTGATATAATTATTTTTTTTTAACAGTTGTATCACATTATAGGTTAAAAAATTGATTATCATAAATAGATTTTTTTTTAAAAGAAAGTTTTTTAAGGATTGCAGATTTACTCTTCTCATAGTAGTACATATCATTATAAGCAGTAATTGTACAGATATTATGACCAATAGTTTTCAGTAAGTGCATACAGTTTTTATTTATTTTTGCATTTTAATCTTATACTTTTGATAAATAGAATAATGAAAGAAAGTATTCATAATAAGTCTTTAAATCAAGAACTTTAATGTAGTGGAAAATTTACAAGCCAACCTCTGTTCTGTGCTAGGAGGTACAGTAATAAAATCCCAACTATCCAGAAAGCTCAGAAAATACCAGATATGTGAAAATTTCAGGTAGTTGAGGATATAAAAAATGCAATTCATGGTAGAAAAAGCCATTTGAATAAAAGGGATTTATGGTCTAGAACTCTAAAAACAGTCTTTTTTTTTAAAACAATTTGAATATCAAAAGCTTACAATTATGTAAGATATCAGGTTGAAAACTGCATTTCAAAGATAAAAGCTGATGTATTTTTGTAGGTTTAAACAAATGAAAATTTTGACATCTTATCCAATTATGAAATCCAGTCAAGCACAAAATATGACAGAGATTCTTCTAAACCTGCACTATTCCAGCAAAAGTTTAAAGGAACTAATCAGTCTTTAAGTAATTAGATTATCAGGAGATACAAGTTACAGATTTCGAAAATACAGAAGAATAACAGTTAATTTTATTTTCTTTATAAAAAGTAAACCAGCTTATCGAGAATTAATCAATTTTACATAAAACCAAGGCAAAGATCTTATGATTGTGTTGTGATATCACACTTATTGGCAGCATTTTATTTGCAAAAAATGATTGGCGTTAAGCATTCTGGCAGTAGTAGATCTCACATTAGACATACTAAATCCCATCATAAAGTTTGGAATCTTACATGTTTTTGTACTATACTAACTCCTCATTTTTCTTTTTGCAAGGAATGTGCAATTTCAAGAATAAATTCTTGAAACAAAGTGAGCGATAGCAAGAAGGCTGATAATCAACATCTGAAAGCTATGTAGCAGATTGGTAGAAGTATTTGAAATTGTATCCGCATTTGAAATGTTGTAAGTGAGGTTCCATGTTGTAGTTCTATTCTGTAATGAGTTTTGTAATGGTTTTGCGAGTCTCTTATTTGCTTAATTTTATAATTTTTTTATATCTTATTATTTTAAAATATTCCAGTTACTTGAGCTTTCTGGTTAGTTTAATGCCAAATAGTCAGGCTTTTTATTGTATAATTCTTAAGTGTTAAAGTTTTAAGGGTTTTAGAATGTTAGTTACTAGACAAGCATTAAACTACAATTTAAGGTGTAATGTTTGTAGCAAAAGAACGGAAAGTATTCAGCCTAATTCTCCCTGTGCTCAGAACATAACTTAAAGCTAAATAATCAATTTTTGTAATGGAAATATTACTCTTGGTCGTGGTAACATGTGTTGAACAGTTATAACAAATTTATATTTTGCATGTCATAAGCATGCACTGTGCTTTTTTGCTGCACACCATTTTCAAGCAAACCAGACTGTTCAGCATCAACATAGGCTAAGGTTATGTTACTCATTGCTAAACTTAAAACCAGGACAATTTAAAAATATTTTTGGCTTAAAAACTGAGGAAAATGGTTTATAATAAAGGAAGGCATGTAATTTAAAATAAACTTGATTTTTTTTTAATCATGTATTTTTGAATCATCATGATGGTTATAAGTTGATTTTAATAAATTTCTCTTTCCCTTCCATATAGATTGATCTTGTGAATTTTATTTCTAAATCTGCATGCGAATGTTTAAATGATTCTGACGATCATCCTTTCGAAAATTGCCTCATGGCTGGAAACAATTATTTAGAATCTGATTGTGATGAACAAGTATGTAATTAATGACATATAGTCGTAAAGTTGTTATTTAATATACTATAATTTATGCTTTAATAATTTTAATTATTTTTCCTTCAAAATATTTTAATGTGTTTTTTTTTCTTCTTCCCCCCTTTTTTTTAAATAGCTTATTATGTCTTATGGATTTAATCAAGCAGTGAAATTACATTCTTTGAAAATATCTGCACCAGAAGGTCTGTAAATTCTATTTGATGTATATGTTTTGAAAAAATAGATTTGATGCTGACATTAAATTATATATTTAAAAAGATTTGATGCTGACATTAAGTAATTGAAAATTCCTTTTAGATTAGAACCTCAGAAATGTGACATTCTGATAACCTGACATTTTAGATATATATATTTGAAAAATAGAGATTTGATGCTGACATTAAATAATCGAAAATTCTTTATAGAGTAGAATCTCAGAAATGTGACATCCTGATAACCTGAAATTTTAAATAACGCAAATTAAAATTCTTGATTCTCCTAGCTCTTGTATAAAAGAAAAATTTCTTGACAGACTAGTTTACTTGTCATATTTGATCTCAAGTTTTTCGGTACTTATGTATTAACGCAACCAGGCCAAAATTCGCATAAATTGCTAAATTTGGCGACCCTACTTACGGCAACACTACATGTATAGTAGTTTGTAAAAGAGCACGTGGAGATCCAAAACTTTCCGGCATTTTCGTGAAATTCTTGTTTAATTATGAGAAAATAGATGTAAGGGATAAAGTCAAGAGTGTGCGCATGATTTTGTGCAATTCTGGATTTTTTTTTAGTAAAATAAGTCGACGTGTACATGTTATGGCGATACGTTTTCAAACAAGGCTAAAACAATAGCCCAAAGATTCCGCCGGAAAAAATAATTCTGCAACTTATTCAAATTCGAAAACGGAAAGGGTTTATTGCTATTTTATAAAAACAAATATAAAAAAAAACTGTATAAAAATTATCTGTAATTAATAAATGTACATTTTCTTTCTATTCATACTTTTTTACTGAAACTTACAAATAGCGCCAACCTGGTTGCGATAATACGTAAGTACCAGTTTTTCCATATCTTATTTTGGATTTGTTTTGTATAACAGGTTTCAAAAAACGTAAAAAGATTTAATCTCTGTTATGGATCATCATGTGATCAGGTGCAAAGAGGTTATCACTGATAGATGGGTGATTGTGGTTCAGATATAGCTAAAATTCCAGATTTTTTATTTTCTCAAATCCAGAAATTATGAATTTAAAAAACATAGACTCCGTAATCAGTAAATTTGTAAAATCTAAATCTTTTTCAAATTTTGTTGTGGAACAAATATATCATTCAGAGTCAAACATTTTTAGACTATTTAAAGTTTAATCATAGGCCAAACTTTGTGCTAGAGCAAACTAAGTTTCTTTTATACAAATGAGTTATTTTGCTGTATGTCTTTGCACAGAAAAAGAAAAAAACTGATATCGTTAAATTTTGGGTTGAAGTTTTCAAACTAGGAGATTGAAAACAGAAATACTGAATATTCACAAAACTGGTTAAATCTCTTTTTAGCTTGCTTAAATGGAACCATTATTGAGAGTTCTTGTAATTGTACAGGTGATATTATGTAAGAATGAAGAACACCCATGAACAGTAATAGCTTAGATGCTTAACAGACTGAAATATTATTTTTTCTCATTGTTGCCAAACTGCATATAAAGTTTTGGGTTTCAAAAATCCTTCTGATAACTATAAATAAAGATTTCGGGATAATTTATTGCATAACTTGGCAACTTATTAAAATTCTTTATATCCCATGAACCATTTTTCTTGCTGGCAGTTTCTTGTAAAGCCATTGTGTACATAAAAGTGTCCTGTAGATCATACTAAATTTTCAATTGTTAGAAAGAAAAATATAAACACAGTAGATCCTAGAAAATAACCCCTCATAAGAAAAGCAAGCTTTGATTAGCAGTTATTTGTTTTAAATGCTGAGGAACCAAATACAGTACAAAGTCTTTAATCCAGACATGTCGGGACTTCGGCGATTCCGGATTATAGATCTTCATTTAAATTGGTAGATGGATGCAGACATAAAAATTAAAAATATGACAAACGTAATTATGAAAGAGCAATTTTGAATAAAGGGTAAAAAATTACAAAAAAAAAAAGTAATATTATTTGTTAGTTATTATACATTTCTTCGATGTAAGTGTTTAAGTGCTTCAGTATGTGTAAACTTTCTTTATTCATAACAGGCATATTCTTGTTCAATTACAAATTCCCCAAGTCTAATTGCTTGCCGAATACGACTAACGTGTCAATCGAAATTTTTTCGTTTTCACTAATGTCTGTCACTTTTTGCATGCATCATCATGTATGCAGCAATTCACCTCGTGTTTGATGGACATCGAAACATGCTTTGGTTTGTAATCCTTTCGCCGTCCAGAATCGGAAACTCTTTTGACATAATCGAAGTAAGCGTTTTTTTAAAATTTCTCTAACATGGCAAAAATAATAATTGGAATCAATAAAGATTAAGGAACAATGCAATCTGCAGCATTAACTGAAATAGACAATTAGATAATTTTAGCCTATGCGTTTACGCATGCACAGAAAGTTTGTAGCTTTGAGGTCTGGATTATGGACATCCGGATTAAAGACTTTGTACTGTAGATAGGTAACTGCATGAATTGATGTTATGAAATACAAATTAATTTTAATAACTTATTAAGAAAATATATAATTTTGCTTTGCTAGTGAAGGAGTTTGAAAATATGTGTGTATGCATGTATGTATTTCATATCAATGTTCTAAATTATTTGATTTTTTGAAATCGTATTGTAATCACCTGTGCTGATATCCTGGGAGGGAGGACACTTGGAAGATTTCTTTGTGGAATATGCTTTCGTATCAATTTATTGGTTTGGAAACAAGCATTTTCACTGAATTCTGTACATACTTGATCATTTTTCAGTACAGGGTACATTCTAAAGGGTATAAACTTGCTTTATCCTCTAGAATGTGTCAGAAACATTTCATTTTCAGAGGGATATTGACTGGTTGATTATTCTTTGCTATATTTAAAATATCAAATTCATAGTGTATTTTGTAAATTCTAGTATACCTAAGAAGATTTATCACACTTATCAACCCATTTCTTTTGAGTCTTTTCACTATTTTGTGCTTTTCAGTGTTGTTTAGTTATTCATTTATATTGTGTGCAAAATAAATCACTTGATATAACTGTTTAAAAAATTAAGTGTCAAGTAAAATAGTAAAAGGTATAAAATGAGTGTTAGAAAACTTAAGAAAAATAAATAATGAAGAATTTTATGCCAGAAACTTGTTCTTCATAAAATCTTTAACTATATACCAACTTTCATATCCCCTGCATATAAAGTATATCGGTTTTTTTAGTTATTTGTGTTATAGTCATTGAATTGAGGGTGTAAGGTTCTTTTAATGTGTGCTGTTAATTGGATTTAGATGTATGATATAAAATCTATTAGTAAAATTTTTAAATTGTTTTAAAACTTGCAATTGGTAAAACTTCTAAGCTGTTGCATATTTTTCATTTCAGAAAATGGTCCAAAAACTTTAAAATTGTTTATAAATCAACCAAGGACTTTAGATTTTGATCAAGCTGATTCTTCAGAACCAGTTCAAATATTAGAGTAAGTTTCAAAATGCAGCTAAATTTTACTTTTATTGAAAAATTTAGATTTTTATACGAAATCTGAAAAATTGCAGTAATCCTTGGTAAAAAATAAAAGGTTGGATGAATTTCAATAGTGAAAAAACTACAGTAGAAGTCTAGAAATCCACAAAGCTTGGGACCAGAGGTTGTGCGGATTTCAGGATACAAAAGATGAATCATAACATTCAGACTAAAAGTGCAAAATAAATAAGGCATATTAGATACATTTAATTAAATTATTATACTTATACAATAATTATTATATGTGTTAAATATTATTATTATATATTCATTTATTATTGATAACAGGATATTTAAAAGCATTAAGGATGGATTAAATATGTATAAAGAAGACATATAAAAAAGGTATATTATTAAAAGATAAAATATTTAATTTTTTACATGTTTAAACATTTTTTGATAGGGGTTGTCTTAAACATTAGAGTGCCCGCAAATTTTTTTTTTTTTTTTTAATATATAGAGTCAAATTCTTGCTCTGGACACAACTCTGTCTAAGAATTTTAGGTATTTTCTCACTAGTTCCAAACCCTCATTAAAAGTATTTTCCTTCTATCAAATCACTATCGTATCAGTGTCAAATAGTTTCTTGCGTGGCGACTCAAAAGAGAGCAAATGATTTCATCATTAGTCATCTGATATGCCAGTGTTGGCTCATCTGAACACATCATCCATTCAACAATATCTTCTTGCAAAGCATCCTCATCTTTTTTTTTTTTTTAGTATAAAAGCATTTCTCTTGCTTTAACCCTTGCTGGACTGACCCTAAAACCAGAAAATTCACTATCACCACTCTCAGTTTCAGTAATCAGAGAAGATGGCCATATGTTATGCTAGGCATTTACTAATGTTGTTTGGAAAACAGAATTCCATGATTCAGCTAGCAAATAAAGTCTAGTCTTTTGATGGTGATTTTTTTTATTTTATATATATATATATAGATAGATAATCACAAAGTGAACTAGAATGGTCACTTGATAGAATTTTTTCAGAAACTCTGATTTTTAGTAGCATTTAATACTGTGTATTATGTCCTGGTACATTGGTTGGATCAATGATGTAGTATTTTGGGGCGAAGAAAGGGCCATCACATTATCACATGTTAAAATGGTTGCATCTGGATGTGCAGAGCAGTTGTCTAACAATAGTAAAATCTTGCAATTTGATTGTAACTCCACACTGTTACAATGCCTTCTAGCCTCTTTAATGAAATGCTCCATGAACCATTCAATCATAAGTTGTTTTGTGAAACAGGAATTTTTATTATTCCTGTAAATCGCAGGTAAAGATTTTACTCCTTTCAGAGCTGTGGGATTGGTGTTCTTACCCACTACCATTGGTTTGGATTTGTAAGTTCCAGCTGCATTGCTGCGTACTGAAATTGTAATTATTTCTTTAGCATCTTTCACCCTTGACGGTGCACTTTCTTTGCTTGTCACAAATGTCTTTCTTGGCATCTGTTCAGAAATTTACTTCAATCTGTTCAGCCAATTTACTGTTGAAATTGCACGGCTCTTCTATTTTTAAATCAGCATGAATCTGCTTTCCCTTTTCTCTCAGGAGTGGTCATAAAATTGGTTACCCTATCACTCTGCCGCTGCTGGAACCACTTGTACTAGACAGCATTGAGGTTTGCCGATGTAAAGATTTCTGGTTTCGGATTCTGATGTTAGAATCACTGTTGCTGTAAAATTTCAGCTGCTTTTCTTTATCTGTCATTGTATTTAAAAAACACTAAAATTAAAAATTATTCTTTATTTATCCACGAAATATCTGGATAAATAAACAGAACAGCACCACTAAGCAATCTTGTGAAATAACAAAGCTCAGAATCTACAATAACATTAATCATAAACTTGAAAGAAGAGTTGAGTGAATTGTCTGCTTTTTTACCTCGATGCAGATTGAAGGGGGAAAACGTTTAACCATGATGTCAATAATTTGATATTTCCATTATGGCTCATTATTATTCGGTAATAATGATGTCATTATTCGGTTAGTATTTTTTTTCGGTATTTCTTTCTCCATGTGTCAATTTCCGGAACCTATAAACTGAATGTTTATATTTTGAGAGGCAATGCAGATTTCAGGTCAGTGGATTTTCAGTATTTGACTGTGTTATTTTTTCCAGCTAGCAAAAATGAGGAATACATAATTAATGAAAAATGAAATTTTATTTTGTTGTTATTTGGGAAGAAGGATGGTAAAATGCTAACATTAATTAAATGTCCATGCTATTGTTGTAACTTTTTGTCAGTTGTTTTATTTATGCCTTTTTGATCATGATGTTATTTGATGTTCAAGCTTTCCTTTTTGTATTTTTTATTCAGATTGAAACCAGAAGATCTGTCTGGTGAAAATCTTATACCTTTAAAATATGTCAAATTCCAGAATGTTCAAAATCTACAGGTAAAAATGAATTTTTTTTTTTTTTTTTTCTGTACATAACTTTTTTTTTTTTTTGTATTTATTAGTTGATAAAATCAGTTCATTATGTGTTATGTTTATTGATACTCCATATGATAAAATAAAATAAGATTCACTGAATGCTAAATGCTGATAATGGTAGATTCATCAATTATAAATTCATTATAATTCTTATGGAGAGACTGATTCTGCAGGAATTTAATAATACTTTATAATGTTAATAAGAATTATTTTCAAAATGAATAAATGTGTATTTCAGGCTTTGCTTATAATGTTTAAAATGATATTTTTGAAAACCTTGCTTCTTATTTATAGCTGTGCATCATTTTTCTCTAATGAAGGCATTTTCTTAAAGATCAAATTTCCCCTTTTTTATTTTTTATTTTTCTTTTTTAATATATAGCCTGTAATGTTTCTGGCTGCTGTCTTCCTTGATATCTTTTCAAAAAGCTAAATATTAACGAAGGAGACAGAAAATTGAATGTTCATTGGAATCATTTTTGTTTTGGGTGTAGTTTTAACTTTCTAACTGGCAAGGGATTTCACTAAGAAGGACCAAATTTCCTAAAACTGCCATGAGAAAGAGCTATTTTCTTGATTTTAATGCCAAAATATCACTGGTAACCTTATTTATGCACTTTAAACCTTATTTATGCACTTTTAATATATTGCCTTAATCTTTTGGACATATTTCAAGATGCACATATAATATACATTCTTACAGACATCACAAAAAATATTCTAAGGCCATATATATACTAGTCTTAGAGGGTTAATTTTTTAAAAATTTGGCTGCTGATTATGATGTGTGGCTTTATTATCCTGAATCCAGACTTTGTTATCATTGTACAATACAAAAATGTCAGGAGGAGGCCATGAAAGCAGGATTAGTTTTTATATTGTGAACTTATTTTTTAAGCTCAGTATATTTCCAAGACTTGCTACCACTATCAGTTCTCTTGGGCAGCATTTCTGTGCTGTTTGGAACCAATATTGAAAGCCTTTACCTCTTCTTATTTGAAGCTTTTTTTCTCCGAGAGAAAGATGTCCATTTTTCATTTAGTGTAATTACTAAGAATACATGATTTTTGAAAAAGAGAAATAAAAATTTTGCAAAAATATAACATCAGAAATGAAAATTTTGCATTTATGTGCCAATAGATAAATAAAAAAAAATCAATCTTTCTGTTATGAAATAAACTATTGCAATGCATGATTCATTTGCCACTACAATTACTTGTCTTTCAGTTGTTCTTTTATTACTTCTTTCTCATAAGTGCTAAGTTATATATTAATGTCTCAAAGTATCTGCACAAGAAAGATTATCTGAACCAGGCACTTATTTTATTAAATAATTTTACACAGTTTCATGGTCTGATTTATTCAGTAGAATATTTGCATATTGTCAATATATTCTTTTCTTAATTTGCCACATTTTTACATTTGAGAACTATTATCATTTGTAGTCTGTTGCTTATTCCTGTATCATCATAGGTGGGTACATTTTTCTTCTGGTAAAAATTTATGATTACTAAGAGAAAGTATGTGTTTGGAAAATGAAACAAGAGAAACATGAACTTATTCCACAGTTTGTGCCACGAGTGACCTTGACGACTGAATAAGCATGTGTAAAAGAAATACAAGATTCTGTGACGAGATGTGAATATCCAGCAAGTCGTTGGGCAAAGCATCATGGAAATTAAACTAATTATCATTAATTATGTTCTTTTCACCAATTGTTTTTAAAAAGTTCATGAACAGTATTTGCATTTAATCACTAATGCTGATAAATTTCACATTTATTCTCATATGTATCATAACTATAAATTTGCAATCCCTAGCAATTATGTTTCTGCACTTCTCTTCAGCCAAACTGTATCATGAAGGTGCCTGCTATGAAAATACTAATTTCCTTTCATATCAGTTATGTGTTTATTTTTTGAATTGGTAGAAATCTAATAGGATTAAAAATTGTATCGGCTATTTAAGTAATGGACTCGTTTTCATTTATATATTCTTAACACTTTACATTTATTTTCATATTTAAAAACAGTATTTCCAAGCAAGTAATGAATGTGATGCTTGGTGATTGCATCAAGATTTTGATTAATTGCTTTGGTTATAGGTAACTCATATGTTTGTAATATATTTGCTGTGTTTCTCTGTTCAAAATATTCTCTAAGAAACATTTAACGATTTAGTTCTTAACATAGTAATGGAGGCAAGTGTCTCCAGTGGTAATAATCAGCCTTGTGTTTGCCACTGTGTATAATTTTTGTCTTTGGTTAACCAAGTACATTCATTCTTGATCTGTCTATGCTGACTTTCCGCATTTTAAGCTATTTTCCCTCCTTTATATCTTCCAGTTTTTAATTATGTGTATTTCAGATTTTCAAGTAATGAAACAGAAAATATCAATTTTTTCCACAAATACTTTTAATTTGCCCAACAATGACAAGTGTAATATAATTTTTACGCAATTATAGTGTGTGCTATTAAAAAAAGAATGACATCAAAGTACAAATACACAAAAATTATGAATCGTAATGAAAGTAGAAAATTAGTTTAAAAGAAACCAGATTGCATTTTATGATAGATGCATGCTTTATTTATAATAGATTGCAAAACAATTGTTTTTGAGGGGTATGTATTGCCTGAAAAGAGGGTTTGGTTTATCAGGTTACAGCAAAGTACACTAGGGCTGCCTTGGAGGACTTTCTAAGAGAAAATGGCTCATATACACATTACACCTGGGGGGGAAACCACAAAAACACCCATGCAACCAGCCAGTTTTCTGCGATTCGAACCCCAGAGCAAACAACCAGTGTTCAACAACTTTTACTGCTGGTGGTCCCCAGAAAAGAGGGAACAGAGTAATGCATCGTTGAAGTGAACAAGAATTTGCATGTATTGAAAAATTAGATTATCACATAATTTGGCAGTGACATCAGTTATTTAAATAACTGTAATATGCCAAATTATGCGGCATTCTTTCTCATGGCCATAATGTATTTTTATTTAAATGCTAATAAACTTTAGAAGTTGGTTTGATAACATGTTTTCTCCAGATGAGTTTATTCAGTGACCTTTTTTTTTATATATATGCATATTAAATTCTTTTGTTTGATGATTATAGAATATGTTTTAAATTTATGGTAAAAAGATTTTATTTGAACTTTTGGTAATGTACTATGTTATCTACCTAATGAATAGAAAGACCTTTGGTTTAACATGTTGAAATTCCAAATATGCTTTTTGATTGTTGAGTGAAGAGTAATATTACTACCCATGATCTAGCACGAAGTAATACATGCCTCTTTTATCATGAGTGATGAATGACCTTCATATAAGGGTGAGAATACTATCAATACTATCATCAAAACATAAACCACCAAAAGAACTTTGTTAACCTGCAGATGGCTGTAATTGACAAATAACTAAATCGTGTTGGGAGATTAAGCTAAAATTCCTACACAGCATGTAGAGTATCACACTTCAAATGCTTCCATGCTATCTCACAAAAGCACGGTGGAGATCTGTTATAAGAGTGGTGACTATATTTTTATCAATACTGTGCTCCATTTATAATGTATACGATTGAATAATTCATAAAACCTGCCACTTTATTATTTTGTGAATTGGTAGGAATCTAATAAAATAAAAAAATGTATAGGTTATTACATTAATTTATGGAATCATCTGCATTTATATATTCTTAATTTATATTTATTTCATATTTAAAAGTAGTATTTTAGAGTGCCATCTGAGAAATAAATTAGTAACTAAAAGTAGTAGATCATATACTACAGTACCGAACTTTTTTTATTATTTCATGAGTTAAGTATCTTTCTCATATATGATACAGCATATCTCTTGAACCATTTATTGATTTTTGATGATGCTTTTATTTGTAGTACTAAAAACTATATATCTGTATGTATTATGTAAACAGTTATATGTATATTATTATGTAACAGTTATAATTAAAATTAAAGTAAACGTTAAATTTCAAATTCCGATGATATATATAATTAAAATTGCATGGTATGCTGCAAAATGAATTGAAAATCAAGTGGTAATAAATAAATCAAAATTAAATCATGAAAGGGGGCAACTTTCTAACAGTAAATGCACAATTTAAAATTAAAACAGAAACGGTATTGTCAAATTAAGATGTTAAAAGAAAAAAAAAAGGACCAAGAAATTTTCAACAATTAAATATTTTTTTCAGTCAATAATTATACTTTTTTTTTTTTTTTTTGTTTGTACATTTTCTGTTGGAAAGTTGCCTCTTTTCATATTTAAAGTATTATCCTCTTGATTTATATATATATATATATGTGTGTGTGTAAAGTCTTAAATAACTTAAGCAAATGACAAATTAATTTCAAAACACAGATTATATGCCATAAGGTGCATTAATTCAATGATGTTATTTATTAAATTCAAACATAGCCTAAGCAGATTCAAATATATTAAATTCTGGAATAATAACTTTTGTGTAGCATTGGTTTGTCTGGAGATTTTGAACAGGTCTCATATTCTGGTTAGCTTTACCTCCTGCCAACTTATATACATAGGTAAGAGAGGTAATGATTTTGGTTCTAAAATTCAATTTTCAGTGAATGAGCACATTTTAGGGCCTCCTCAACATGCTTTATTTTTACGTCTGTCTGTCTGGATGATTGTTTAAGTATGATGATTTTTTCATCCATAACAACTTTTATATGAAACTTCCAAAAAAATTCAAGCTTTCTACATTCATATAAAGAGTTAGTTAGATTTTAGGTATAGTTTTTAATGAATGACTATATTGAAATATAATCTGAAACTTTTCAATTGTAGTATTTAAAATGTTTATATCAGTGAAAACAACATATTAGATTTTAGCTAAAATTGATAAACTAAAAGTGATACTTCACTTGAAGATCTAAACAGCCTGTCATTAAAAAAAAAAAAAAAAAAAAAAAAAAAAAAAAAAAAAAAAAAAAAAAAAAAAAAAAAAAAAAAAAAAAAGATAATAAGTTAGATAAAGAGAGATAAACCAAGACTTCTCAAATTTGGTACCTAACATAGATATGTAAATGAGAACACCATATTAGATTTATAAGCATTAAATGCATTTTTGGAATAATGCTTGGTAATTGCAGCAAGATTAAGCTCATTATGAAGATAGCTCTTATTATGAAACAATTAAATGTATGAGCCTGAATCCTCAATTTTGTGTTTGTGTTCAAATCACTTTCAAAATAAAAGGATGTTGTCACGAAATGTCATTGCTGTGTATTATTTTTAAACAAATAAAGTAGCAAATGTAAAAAAAAAAAAAAAAAAAAAAAAAAAAAAAAAAAAAAAAAAAAAAAAAAAAGTATGTCAACAATTGATGCATAATTGGAAATTCTAAAGATATGTTAATTTTAAACATTTTGTTGTGGAATTTTATGTGGTGTTAAGTGTAAAGGAAGCAATGTTCAGTAAGTAAAGCTAAAATGACAAATAAAAATGTTAGTCATCTTATTTTCATCATCTTATTATCATTTAGTTATCTTAACTGAACACCAATATCATATATGAGAAACATTGATTTCATAGATTATCTGTGGTCTATCATGATGAGATCACCTATGATATCTGATAATCTATATATCATAGATGATCACTGAGAAAAGACTGAATAAGGAATACATGGCAACACTTAACACTATATCAAGAATTCTAAAAGTATGCTACTTTTAAAAATTTCTTGATTTTTAAGTTATAGAGGCTATGTGTTTATTCTTTTTGGAAGCATACAACATAGACTCTACATAGAAGATGAAGTAGCTAATACTTGCTATGTCTTTGAAAAGTAAATACTGCAGAAGAAGGTTTTAAATAACCTTTTTATTTGAACTAAAATAAACAGATGTACACACTCGGTGCTCACAATTCACCACCAATTGTGGTTAACTAAATTTAACAGGAAATAAAAATCTAGCAAATCACTAATAAATTTGAATGGCTAGTGACTGGTTCTTTAGCTTATCTAAACTTCTAAATCAGCTGCACACAGTAAAGCTGAGCCTGGAATATCAGTATAAACTGATGGGTGTCTAACACAGACTATAGAGCTAATTTCAAACATGCAGCATAAACTCAGAACTATCTCCATTGCTCCTCTTTTTGAACTTTTGAAATGCAGCTTAAGTACTGCTTCTGAAACACATTTAGATTAGCATACTACATCATTTAAAAATTTACTTTGCGGCAGGAAACTGAAATCAGGAGAGAAAGGAAGGTAAAACCAAAAATAATAATTGGTTAGAATAAAATAAGGTCTTTACAAAGTTACTGATTGATGAATCTGAAAAACATATGACCAGAGAATATGCTATGATCGATGCAGTATTTTCTGATCAAGGCATGAGGACATGAGCATGTATAATTATCCTGTGTTTGGGAGAATAGAATAATAAAAAATTAGTAGTATTTTTAATTAAGATTTATAAACAAATTAGATTTTATTTACAAACAATCAACTAGAAGGTATAGTTTACTTAAAGCTTGCTGCTATTTTGTAATGGCGTGCAGTTATGTGATGAGATTTTTTACAATAATTTAAGCATTAGCAGTTTTTATTTAAATATGTATACGGAGAAGAAGAAATATGATTCAAATCATTATTGTTGGCAATTTTATCGAGAAAGGCTAATACTGCTTGAAAATTCAGTCTTTTTCCATGCAATCAGTGATAATTAATCAAAAGTTTTTTAATAAAATAAATTTTTAATTGACTATAACTTCTATTCTTACAATAATTTTTACTCTTCTTTTTCTAAAGGGATAATCTCTCTAGTTAATAAATATATATATGATGTGTATTTAATAATGTATACATAGAGAATTTGTGCATAAAAGAAAATTTTGCTTATATTTATTATATGATGTTACAAACTTTCCTACTTCTCTGAAATACTACGGGCATAACTTGATAAAATAATTTTCAGTATTGGTTATCATAAGACAATTAGTTTATTATCTCTAAGAACTGACTAGTTGTGAAGATGTAATATATTCTTGTTATTTGCAGATATTTGTAAAAGATAATCAAACTGGTGCTGAAACAACACGAATAAATCATTTAGCAATTATAGGCAGTACGATATCCATGACTAACATGAGTGACTTTAAAAGGGTGAGTATGGTGTTATTTATTGTTTTTCTCTTTTTCCTCATAAATTGAAATATTTAACTCAGTTATGCATCAGAATTTAGTTAGTATATTACAGAAATCATTAGGGCATTTCTTATGCAATCTGAAAACATTTTGTTTAACTGTAGTCTATGTAATGATTAAATTGTATTGGTAAATATAGTTTATCCATGGCTAACACTGTGAGCAAAAAGTTTCCTTAATGTGTGATATATGCAAAAGATCAGCATTATGTAATCATTACCCTTTTATTAATTAGTCATGCAAATCTCATCAGAGCAAATTAGGTAATTATTTCGCAAACCAAAGAGCTTATTTTCATTTTTCTCTTGTTATAAATCTGCTTTTAAAAATAGTCCTTTTTTTAAAAATAAAATAAGACTAATGTATAATTTGTACAAGCATTTTTCATCAAATAAAATTAGTTACATGTATTTGAGAGTAATTTAAGCACTTGATGTATCAAAATACATAAGTGCAAATATTACATCTATTAATATCCAAATAGCTATTAAAAATTGCTGATGATTTTGTATTTGAAAGAATCTTTTCAAAAATGCTCTTGCGCTTAGATCATTATACACTGTTACTTGTTAAATTTAAAAAAAAAAAAAAAAAAAAAAATGCATTAACAGTTTTTCTAAAGCATAAATTAGTCAAATATTGTAATGGAAAGCATGTGAGTATATAAAGATGGATTAAAATTTGAGGTTACAAATTTTCTACATACATTATATTAAACATGAAAGGATAAAGGAAATTAGGAGTTTGCTCTACATTTCACATATTTATGAAATGAGATATTTAGTTGAAGAAATTAAGAGAAATGACTTTTGATAACTAAATTTCCTGACTAAAGTCTCTGTGAGAGGGAACTAATACAAAACAAATTTATGTTTAATGCAGAATTTAAAACTGTAAATTCTTCATATTTTCATAGGTAGACAGACATTCACTTCAACAAGAAGTTACAAATGTTTTGCCAATGTTTGTCATAATTTGTAAGCAATTCTTTATTCAAAAATCCTACTTAATTATGAATACTTAATTAATGGTAATTTCTTCAGATTTTAATTAAAATTTATATAAACTTCTTACTTAAACATATATTGCTTTTTTTTAGTGTGTTATAAGAAAAAATTCAGGTTATTCTTTAAGTTAACTATGTGAATAAAGCCGTAGAGTGATATTTGCTGCCTCCCACATTGACCATCTGGTTGACTGTATAGCTATTTTTTTATAACTTCTCTTGTGAGAGTATAAGTAAAAGTCAGTTTCCCTTAAAAAATTCATTACAAAGTAATTTAAGCAGTTAGGTCTGAAGTACTTTTTAGTAATTTTCATGACCAATTTAATATTGTTACAAGTTTTGTACATAGATAGATGTTTTTAGTACAATCATATGTGAAATTGTATTTATTTGTGTAATGTAACATGAAATCTAGAGAGAGAATGCTGTACTGGAAAAGTAAGAATACAGGGACAAGTCTATTTAGCATTGAGTAAGTGGCTGTCTCGCTAGTTAGGCAAGATGTCACCAGGCTGGCAGTGGTTTTCGTGACTAATTTTTCTGCCAAATTTGGCGAGAAATCTCCAAAATTCACCAAACTTGGCAAAATTTTGGTTCACCTGTGTCACTATAATAGGTATTGAATTTCTCTAATTGATTTCATATATAGTGGTAACTGTATCCAGCCCTAGTATGCCTTCCAGTAATTTTGAGAAGTACTAGAAATACCGTGACCTCCAGGTGAAAACAATATTCTGGATACTCTTTCTAGAGTTAAAAGGTTTCAGTGCTTGATTTAAAGAGTGGATATTGGCAGGTAGAGATACATCCTGATGACTGATAAAAGACAGCATTTACTAAGGTTATGGCGTTTGGATTGTGTAATGCACCAAAGACTGTCTAATGTACACTGCTCAAAAAAAAAAAAAAAAAAAAAAGGGACAGTTCTATATCTCCCGATCTACAGGGCCGATTGACAAAATTTCAAATTGTATTTCTTCATGTCTCGAAAAGCGCGACTTAGGATATATATTAGATTTATATATAGCACTATTCTAACATAGGTATTTTGACACAAAAATCGGACTTTTTCTGAAATAACATACCAATTTTTTTTACAGTATTTCGATTCTACGACTCAAATTACGCCTAAATATGAAATTTTGTAAAATTTGGAGCGAAATTTATGGAGAAATTCACGAATTTATGTTGGCACTTTTTTGCCAGTTTGCGCCAAGAATACTTCACTTGGCGAATTTCTTAATATATGGCAACCTAGTTTCCTTTCCCGTGAGAGGAAAAAAAGTCACCGACGTTCCTTTTTTCCAAATAATATTCTTTATATTATATTTTTAATTATAACTTATTATTTTAAGTAATTTTTTCTTTTTCGAATTTCATTTTAATTGTTTAAGTTGCACTTTTTTTTTTTTTTCCGAATAACTGTTTTAAAAATTTCTATTTAGCTATTCGAACTGCGTAAATAAAGGTGCAGCGTTTATTTTTTTCAAATAGTTTTCTTTACATATATTTTTCGTCATAGTTATTATTTTAGGTAATTTTTTTAATTTTTATACTTTTATTTTAATTGTTTGTGTTGCATTGTCTCTTCAGATAATTGTTTTAAAAATTTTCTATTTTATTCCTTTGAACTGAGCATTTTAAATATATTTATTAATATAAAATTTTCCAGAATTTGATTTTATTTACTTGAACTGCGTTTCTTTCGGAAGAATACTTTGTAACCCAGACTACGATGAGATTGAAAACTGCATGCTATATTAAAAGAGAAAATACAGTAAAGCACAGTTTACACACCCTTCAATGTTCCGTTCAGAAAAGATATATATAAATAAGAGAGATGTATAACCAACATTTTAACTTAGGATGACTTGCATACATTGCTTTAAACAGTTTTATCATTGTGCCCATTGCTTTACACAATTTTATCCTACATTTGGTTTCTTAAAATGTTATTCATATTTTAGTCAAATATTTTATTTTTGAAATCGCAAGAATCAAATATTATAACATTGAAAAGTTTTAAATTAAAAAAATACAAATACTAAATTTTACGAAAAAATTAATTTTTCCCCCCTGAATGGCTTGCTTTTTCTTTAAGCAATTCTGCAAGTATATTAAAAAGTATCCAAAATTTTTCGAAACATTTTGGTATTTCTGACAATCATTTTAAATAAAGTTATTCACCTTCCATTTCATAAAGGCCCACAAACGGCCGAGCGGTAAAGACACTGATCACTGGTAGTTCGGTCCGAGGTTCGAATCCCGCGAACAGGCTGGTTGCATGGGTGTTTTCGTGGTTTTCCCGATGTATGATGTGTATACGAGCCAGTTTCCCTTAGAAAGTCCTCCATGAAGGCATCTCTCCCTTTAGGCAGAAAGCCCTCGTGTGCTTTGCCATAATTAAATAATCCAATCCAATCCAGTCCAATCCTTAATTAAATATAATTGATTTGTAACTTCTACTAGAACTGACGTTAAGAATTGAAGTGCAAATAAATAATATTGTGTGCAATCTTGATTAATATAAAATTAAAAATATTTGCACCGAAAAATATTTGCATTCAGACAGAAAGTTTTTTGAAATATTTGCACTTACTTTATAAGAAGGATTTATTAATAACCATAATAATTACTTATTATGTTACTGATGATTAGGGATCAGTTCTTGACAATTACATTCTAAATTAGAATTTTAAGAATTATTAGAATTTTAAAGTAGAATAATGAAAATACTCTACGCACAAAAATACATTTTAGGATAAAAAATGAGTTGATTTTTTATGTTTTAAAACTTCTTGAATTCATTTAATAAACATCGTATCCTCGTTGTTAATTGAATTCAGAATGTTGGGTGTCGTTTATATAATTATTCTTACTTGTCCACGGAATCTGCTGACTTATCCAGCGATTAAGTAGCTGCAGATCATTTCTACATAACCATTGAACTTCCATTAATTCAGTCTCTGGAGGGTTGTATATTTATATCATAATTTGACTTTTATAAAAATGATTATTCTAAATCTTATGTTTCTATAAAAATATACTGTGCTTTAAAAATATGGATGATAGTACCAGCCGCTCTTTCAGCCACTTCAAAAGCATCAGTTTGTTTAGAAATAAATTGTGCAGTTAATGTCATAAAATTCAAATAAACATCAAACGAAAATTCTCAGTTTTAGACAATTTGATTTAAACGAAGTAAAGTAGCAGACGATAAAACGCCGAAGGTAAAAATTTACTCTTACAAAAATTTACTCTTATTAAAAAAAAAAAAAAAAGATAGAGAGAAATTTACAAAATTATTAAAAAATTTATTTAAAAAAGTAGCTTTTCATATAGTATTAATAAATATTTATTACACATCATTGAGGGAAAAAAATGTCATATAATTAATTCTCTGTAAAATTTTACTTGAAATTTAAGGTTAAAAATAGCTGTGGCAATGCAGTGTAACAAAAATCCATAGACCACATTTGGCGTTATTATCGCTCAAAAAAAAGATGCCAAATTTCAAAACGCGAAAATATGTAAATTTGTGTATATCTTAGAAAATTTTGAATAAAAAAGTCTAATTTTTTGCAGATATGCTTAAAAATATACCTACTTTAAGATGATGGTAAAAATTTTATAGGTTATAATCCAAATTATTTTCGAAAAATTTATAAAAATTATTTAAAAATAGAAATTTAAAAAATAAAACACAAAAAATGGGTAAATTTTATTTGGAATGAACCTAAATTTCGAAATGTGAGAGAAAAAATCAAAAAAGTTTAATAAAAAAAGAGATATAAATAAATATTTGCCAAATTCAATTAACATTGAGGAGCTAATATTTCAAAAACTACTCGTACGATTTTTACAAAACTTGGTATTCTGGAATAATTTGAGTCGTAGAATTGAAATATGTAAAAAAATTGGTATGTTATTTCAGAAAAAGTCCGATTTTGTGTCAAAATACCTATGTTAGAATAGTGCTATTATATAAATCTAATATATATCCTAAGTCGTGCTTTCGAGACATGAAGAACGCAATTTGAATTTCGTGAATCGCCCCAGTAGATCGGGAGATATAGCACTGTCCCTTTTTTTTTTTTTTTTTTTTTTTTTTTTTGAGCAGTGTACCTCAATGACATCATCATCATTGAGAAAACTTTTGAAGATCATTTAGGAAATCTTAGAAAGGTGCGCTTCAGAAATTGAAAAAAAGCCAATCTAAAATCAAGTCCCACCAAATATAAACTATTCATTGTCTATTGGTCTGTCTGGGACTCGCTTCATATTCAAAATGGTATTTTATACTGAAAGTTTTTATCTAATGATGGAAAGGCATTTTGAGGGCAGCTGATACCTCTAAGATCCTGGATCTTGGTTGTCCTTAAAGAACTACATAGCAGTCCAACAGGAGGCTACTTTGGTTTAAACTGTTTGCATAGAATTCAAGTGCTTCTATTTGAGTAATGCAGGGGCTGATATGCAAAAGTGGTGCTAGTCTTGCAAAGCCTCTGTTGCTCAGAAAGGATCAAAGAAACACAGCCGAGGGAAGTTGTGTAGAAGGAGCATAGGAGCAAATTTTGAACGTATCATATTTGACATCTTGGGACCTCAACCACAAATTGCTGATGGCAATAAATGCATCCTTGTGCTCACTGATTACTTCAACAAGTGGCCTGACTCTTATCCTATTCTTGATCAAAAGGCTGTCGCAAGAGCTGAGGGAGTGATACAGTATTAGATTTCCAAGCTCAGAGTACTCTTGAGTTACATTTAAATTTATTAATTTTATCTTGTCTGGAACTAAAGAACTCTGCAAGCTACTCGGTATCGACAAAACCCAAATGACACCTTTACATTCCCAACCAGACTACATGGTTAGAGAGTTTAAATTGAACCATCTTTAATAACCTCTTATGGTGATTTCCAGAAACCAACAGGACTGGGACAAGAAGTTATCTGTGTTTCCAAGACTACCGTCTATACTTCTATATCCCATCCCAGATGCTCTTCAATCATGACCTTAGTCTGCCTTGTGATCTCTTGTTTGATTGCCTTCTGGATTCTGTGGAGTACATCCAAGATCTCCAGGCATTGGTTGAAGTGATGCACAGTTTTGCATGAGAGTGAGTCAGCTTGGTGACAGAGAAGATGAAAATTCAATAGTTCATGACAGCTACAGAATATTCATTCAACGAATGGTGAGAAAGGTGGGTTCTGGAATTCGATTTGACAGAAAGGACTCTCTTCTAAACTACAGTGACCTTGGGATGGAACTTACTTAGTCCTAAACAGACTGAACAACATTATAGTTCGGATACATAAGTCATCAAATTCTAAGCCTGAAGCGGTTCATTATGATAGGCCTTACTATAGTCATAAGTACATAGTTCCCATAGTGTATATGATGTAAATAGTAAACTATTCTAAACTACAGTGACCTTGGGACGGTACTTACTTAGTCCTAAACAGACTGAACAATGTTATAGTTCGGATCCATAAGTCATCAAATTCTAAGCCTGAAGCCGTTCATTACGATAGCCCTTACTATAGTCATAAGTACGAGGGCTATCCAGAAAGTAGATTACGTTTTGGAATAAAAAAATAAACAAAGTATAGGAAACAGATTTTATTATATACAGATGAAAGCCACACTCAAATACTACTTTTCTACATAGTCACCATACAAATTAAGGCATTTATCGTAGCGATGTACGAGCTTGGAAATTCCTTCGTCGAAAAATTCGGCCGCCTGCGCCTTCAACCACTTCGTTACCTCTTCTTGCAGCTGTGCGTCGTCATCATCAAAACGCTGATGCATAGCCAGCCACTTCTTCATTGCTGGGAATAGGTGGAAGTCGCTCGGTGCCAGGTCTCAAAGAAAGTTCCGTTATTGTGAAATTTCGATTTTCACGGACTTTAGCATCGACTTTTTCGAGAAGTTCGGCAGTCACTATGCTGGGTCTCCCACTTCGATCTTCGTCGTGAACATTGGTTCGGCCATTTTGAAATCTTATGACCCACTGACGCACTCCACCTTCAGTGATAATGTTGTCCCCATACACTTCACGAAGCTGCCGATAGATTTCTATCGGTTTACAGTTTTTTGCAGTCAGAAACCTTATTACTGAGCGCACCTCGCAGCTCGCGGGATTTTCAATTAACGCAGACATTTCAAACCGTCACAGTATCTGAACGGAGCACAGCACGAACCTCTCACTAGCACGGCTAGATGCAGACTGAGCTGCGCGACGCTCTGACCCCAAGATGGCCGCGCTAGCCCCGCCCCTAGCGGACACAGACAGAAACGTAATCTACTTCCTGGATGGCCCTCGTACATAGTTCCCATAGTGTATATGATGTAAATAGTACACTGAGATTATGGTCCTTTTTGTGTATGGATTTATAAATTTATGCATTTATTTATTGGTTTAGCATTTGATTTGAGTTTATGTTATTGATTGCTGTAAGACTGGAGAGAGCATCTGCTCTCAATTGTTGATAGTTGTTTAATTCAGCATAAGTTCGGAGTATTGATATTCTCTATGTGAGCTTTCTCTTTAAATGCGCTTTGCATTGTGTTGTGTTTATTGTTCTAAGTAGTTTGAAATGTAACTACTGGTAGTACTCTGTGATAATGTGAACAGTTGTATGACTGCTTTTGTTGAAAGTTCCAGAAGTGTTTTGGTAGTGAAGTGCTTCTTTTGGTAAAATAAATTTTTTTGAGCTATCATCAGTTCTGCATATATTTAATTTCTTACGTACCCATAAGCACGCAACAATATATAACTGCAAAATTCTGATCTGAACCCTGATTAATGAAATCTTTACATTATGCTGAGGTGAATCTATAAGTGTAATTATGCCATTTTTAATGTAATATGAAAGCTTTCTGTGCATACTGTATCAAATGGGCATCCATAAGAAAATTTCTCATATTATTAGCCTATGCCATTAAAACACCTAGTGCAAATGTTCTCAATGGCAATTTTTATATATATATCTACTTTACTAAGTTTTATATTCACAGATATGCACGCACACACACATACACATATATGTATTTGTATATATATATATATTGCTACTTTACGACATTTTAGATTCAAATATGCATGCACACGCACACACATCTACATAAATACATTGCTACTTTACACTTTAGAATCAAGTGTAAAGTAGCAATATATCTTAATTGCAATATAAGAATCAATCTACATAGTAATTTATCATATTTCGTTATGATTAGATCATAGAAAGGTCTCATTTCATTATGATTGGATAACATCTATAGAGATGATTTGATATGTATGGAAATAAAGCCTGTAAATTTGTCAAGTTCATGTTTTATCTTCCATCTGTAAGCCTTCACTCTCAGCCATGACGACTGCAAGCTGATTCCTTTTCTATGCTTCTCGGAATTATTACATATAAATTAGGGGGAGGTCACCAAATCCAAAATGTTAATTTTGAGGTCGCCAATTATTTTTTTTAAAGCAGCCATCATATTTTGTTATATCTTACTCATATATATATATATACATATTTGAATAAAAAATGGCTGAGGTCTTCCATCTCATTTGGTATAATATTAATACATATTGCTGTAATTATAATTAAGATAGTTGGCATTTTTGCTAGTTCAGTAATCAGTGGAATGAGCTTTTATACATTAATAATTGCTTACCTATTTACTTTTTGTACTGATTGATTTTTTTAAATTTCAGGTTGCAGGTAAAAAAGGAGAAAGTCATTGATTTCTATTGCAGACTTATTCTTGTTTTGAAGCATCGAAATAATGTTTTCCAAGTGCTTAAAGATGCTTCATTTTATGCTTTCCCAACTGCACCCAAACAATTGTTAAATAGCTAAAGTGAATCTACTGTCTGCCATTTAAGATATATATTCATTTTCCTTTCTTTATAAATAGCATTAAAATATAGACTTTTGTAATTTATTTAATTCCATAGTATTAATTTTATTATTTTTTCCAAGTTTTGAATAATGTATAATAATTTAATTTTCATATATTTTGTAAGCATTTCATATGTATGTTTTTATTAAACATCTTGATTTATAAAAAATATAAAAATATGAAGCAAGCAATAAAGTACTTTCACAGCTTTTCTTTTAATTCATAATTATTTTTAAATAACTCTATTGTATAAGTTATCTGTAATTAGTAACATTTGCATTTTCTAATCATATTAAATATGTATACATCCCTCAGAAATGCAGTGATTATGCCAAACCTGTTTTAGACTGATTTTGATGAACAGATATGTTATTCTAATAAGCTTAGTTTTACTGTCTATAAGCAGTAATGTGCTCAAAGCATCAGCATCATCAGATGGTAATATATAAGATGATGGTAATCATCTGGGTCTGTTATTCATGTTAGAAATTAACTCCATTATTTTTTAGTAGCAACTATATTTGTACTTCTGTGTCATAAACAGGCTGTTTGGCTTATCTACTATGAGCAGCTTATTTTAAATATACAGGGTGGTTATAATTAAGGTTCCACTTTGAAATGGCCATAAGAGGAAAACTACTGGACCAAATGTTATCAAACTTGGTAATCATGTAAAGGAGGTCATGGGAATTTATTTTCTGTGAAAAAAAAGAAAAGTTAAAAAACTCACTATCAGGGAGGAAATGCGCTGAATGCAATAATATTAAACGAAATAAGACATTGGTTTAAAATGTGTTAACCTGTTTCTGAAAAGTGTTACAAAGCATGTTCAATATGGCATGCACCATTTTCTGAAAGCAAGTTAAATTGTATTACTGCATTCTCAACAGCAGCTGTTAGCATATGAGGAGAAATCTTATGGACATGTTAGTATATCACATTACTGCCAAATTGCTTAGATTTGCATAAATCATTTACTTATTCCTGCCGTAAGGCAATTACAAGCCATTGCAGTTTTGCGTAATTACATGAACACTTTTGTTTTATAAACTATTAGAAATGTTTCAAACCAATATCTTCATGTCTTAGGGCCGAATTAAGGCTTCAAAAATCACAAATTGGTGATCTGTAAAAAAAAAAACGATTTCCGGAAAGCTCTCATTTTTACAATCTCACATTTTCTAATCACCATTTTGTGGTTTTTATGGACGGATCTCTGCGTTACTCTGATGGTGCATTCGTTTTTTATTGTCTTTAAATGATAATTTTGTTTAGGTCAATGTTTCTTAAGAATATACAAGATGTTAAATCTGTGTAAAAAAAAAAAAAAAAAAAAAAGAGTGATTCTGACCCTTATTTTGTTTAACAATATTGCATACAGCACCATTTACTACCTGGTGGCGAGTTTTTGAACTTTTTTTTCGCAGAAAATAAATTGTCATGACCTCCTTTTCCTCCGTGGATCCATTTCACAGGCCCGTTGTAACTGTTGTATAAATCTATTTCAGGTATTGAAATAGATTTTGTAGAACATTAAGATGCAAGTTTAAAAAAATTTTGGGACTTATTTACGAGAGTTGGAACTTTAATAGTGGCAACACAGCTGAAAAAACGCTACGCAACAAAACCAAAGAATATCTCGTATACCACATGTGAACTCTACATGCCTACCTTACCTCTCAGCCAAAAGACTCATCCTGCCTACGTCATGCGCATGCGAAGTGACGCGAAGAACGGATCCTTGTATTAGCTCGCGGTCTAAAGTAAGTGTTGTCAGGTTGTTTTCAAAACAAGAACAACGATGTTGGATAAAAATTGAATGTGCCAAAGGTCGTAAAGCACGACAGTGTCATCAAGGGCTTCAAGAGGCTTGCGGGGAATTTGCATTGCCTTACAGAACCGTAGCAAGGTGGGTGAAAGCATTCAATGAAGGATGCCAAAACGTGGCAGACATGCTGCGACCAGGTCGCCCGAGTGTCAGCGATGCAGACGTGCAAGCTGTTGCCTCACTAATGGACAGTGATCGCCACTAACAATTCGTCAGCTGGCCGGACAAACAGGATTAGCGCATACAACTGCTGCACATTCTGAAGGAATGCCTGTCCATGAGAAAAATTGCTTCACGATGGGTTCCACATCAGTTGACGGAAATGCAGAAATGGCTACAATACGATGCTGCCCAAACCCACCTGGAGCGCTATGAGCGCGAAGGAGATGTTTTTTTACGCCGTATCATTGTGCTGAATGAGACTTGGGCCCAGTCGTACCAGCCAGAACTGAAATGCCAATCAAACGAATGGCGTCATCACGGGTCACCACGACGTTCAAAATTTCGTCAGAACCAAGCAATGTGAAAGTTATGGTGATTCTCGTGTACCACTGTGATGGTGCCATTCTAACGCATACCGTTCCCCAACAGCAGACCGTCACTGCACAGTATTACTGCTCATTTTTGGAGCACAATCTCCGACCATTTTTGAGAAAAAAACGGCGACACTTTCTGCAGAACGCTCCTCTCATTTGACAATGCTCGGCCGCATGCAGCGGAAGCTGTGACTGATTTGTTCTAAGATGAAGGAACCACTTCGTGGCACTCGCTTCCAAACTGTTCCTGAGATTCTTGCAGCAGTAGACCAGTCCATTCAAACTATCGATAAAACATACGCTGCTACAGGTATTCTGTGACTTCTACATCGTTGGAAACGGGTTGTACACAATGCTGGCGATTATATTGAAGGACTGTAAAGCTTGGTGACATGAATCACTTTTGTATTCCTTGTAAATCAAACCTGCCAACTTTTACAAAAATGCGTTTGTCTTTATGATTTTACGATCGTAATCCATTTTTTACGATTTTTTTCCTTTTTCAAGTGTTTTTAGTGATTTTTGTCGAAATTTCAGAATATTTCGCCAATTGCATTGTGTTTTACCGCCAACTACCGACTACTTCGAATCCAGTAACCTGCGGTTTCTCCCAACTCGCCGCTTAACCAGCCAATCCAATGCGCTGAACTTGTTTCTCCCACTCTTTTCTTTGTGGGGCGCCAGATTATTTTTTTTCGCGTTTCGCTTCAGCAGCAAGGGAATTACTCAGCGAGCGTGGATTGTTTTATTTATTTCACATTTTTTGTTGTTGTTTTTTTTTTTTTGTTTGCACGTGCTACGAATTTTCTTTAATACGTCGTTGTTATGAAATGAGTTAAAAAAAAACCATATTCTGAAGAAAAACAAGTATTTTGGCCTGCCTACAAAACCGAATTTCCAACAATTAAAGAATCCTTCAAAGGAAATAACTATGCATTTTGCAACGTTTGCGTGTGTGACTTCATAATAAGTCACGCTGGAAGAAGCGACATTGTGAAGCATGTTAAGTCTAAAAAGCATGAAGTTAATGCTTCGGCTTTGACAACGTCAAAGAAAGTGGATGATTTTTTTTTCAAATTCGGCTACGAATTCGGATGCCAATGTCATTTTGGCAGAATGTTTGTTTACACAGTTGGTACCTTAAGGTACCTTAAAAAATTGTTGGTACCTTAAAAAGAATAAAAAGAGCTGATGGAAACCAAAATATGATAGACTAGCAAGAGTTTTATGTGCTATTCTCGTAATTCCACACAGTAATGCTGAGTGGATGAGAGTCTTTAGTGTTGTGAAGAAAAACAAAACTATGTTTCGTTCTTCAATTTCACCAAAAACTCTAGAAAACATTTTAATTGCTAAATGTTATGAGGAAACTAATTGTTATGACAGGAAATTTTCCAAAGAATTTTTGGCTAAAGCCAAAAAATGCACTCTAAATTCATTGCAATAATTTTTTTGTGTAACATTTAAGTTCTTGTTTTATGTTTCCTAATAAATTTTTTAGTTACTACTTAATTGAGATTTGCTAATGTAAGTACAATTTTCTTTTTTCTATTTGTATAAATTGTTATTTTTTTAATATCAAAGCATGATATTAATTCTTTGTGTTCTTCTGAATTTTGGAGAAATCTTCTGAATTTTTATCTTTAGAGGTTGGCAGGTATGCTTGTAAATAAATAGTTGCCACAATGCTCAGCTGCATGCAGCACAAGCTGTGACTGATTTGTTCAAGCAATGGGGCTGAGAAGTGTTTTACCATCCACCATACTCCCAGATCTAAGCCCTTGTGACTATGACTTAATTCCTAAGATGAAGGAACCACTTCGTGGCACTCGCTTCCAAACTGTTCCTTAGATTCTTGCAGCAGTAGACCAGTCCATTTAAACTATCAACAAAACATACGCTGCTACAGTTCCAACCCTTGTATATTTTTAGTCATTTATTTTATTTTAAATTTTTGGAGAGAAATTCTTTTGAGATTTTAGCTTATTTAGAATCTGTTGGGCTTGATGTAGTGGGAAACACAAATTCAGATATGCTGTTGCCAGCTATCAAACCATGGATCTTCCAGTTGCTAACTGGATGTGCTAATCTCTACTCTGCAAGAGTATGCACGAAAGGAATTCTGTAATTTTTTACATTCTCCCTGTACTTAAAACAGGCATTGGATGCCACCTGCCCTAGATTTATATGTATATATCCCTCTATATATATAATGAAAAAATACAATGTGGAAAAGGGAGGCCAAAACCTAATCCAATTATGTCCTGAAAGTTGCAACAACTGTTGGTAATACTGAAAGTAAAGTAAAACATTTAAATCGATTATATATTCAATTCTGACCAAGCCATTAAAAAATAAATAATTTTGTGTATGTGCAGAGCAAAAATGGTGAAAAAAATTAAAACAGCATTGAGATTCGTACTGAAATAAATGTAAACCAAAAGTGAAATAGATAAATATTTCGCCACATTGTGGTCAGGGGTTGGTGTAACGAAAGAAGTAAATGGATTAGCCTGTTTTTGAACTGATGATGACATAAGTTTACAAACTAAAACTTCAGTTAACTACAAAGCAGTTCGTATCTTTATCAGTCCAAACCCTGCAGAAGGCCTCAGCAACTTACAACTAATGGCTCAGTGAGTGACTCACTTGAGTTCCAAAAATAAATTATAAAATGTAAATACGAAACGAGCACTAGAAAAATACATAAAAAGTCCACTGGAAACAAATAGTAACAATAAAACTTTTATTTGATCACATTTATTTTCAAAATAAAAGTGCAGTAACGAACATGCATTTTTATTTTGAAAGAAAATTTGTAATATAATTTCAATGGGAGATATTGATA